GAGTGCCGGCCAGCGTTGGCTCGGCCCGCCCCACCCCCGAGGCTGCCTGCTCCCCCTCCTGGCCAGCGTCCCCTGGGAACTAAGCGCTTGTGCGGCCCCTCAGGGAGATGCCAGTGCTGCCCACCTCACTAAGAGTGTCCCCAGCGCGGTTTGTGTTCTACGGGTGGTGCACTTTGCAGAGGCATTGGTGCACGTAAACATTTTATTCTGCACAAAAGTGAACATTCGAGGGAACATTGCTCCCGGCCGGCTCCACTGCTCAGTTCCCCTGCTCCCCTGCCAGCCTCACTAGCCTGTTCCTGAAGCTCTGATCACAGCCCCCACCAACCGACTGACACCCCCAAAAAGGCTGTTCCCCTTGGGGTCTCTGGGTAGGGCCCTGAACCCTCCAATTGTCTGATCATTTTCTGGTTTTAGCTGAGTTTTGGGCTCAGTGGTTTCTCCCCCCTGAGCTGGGCAGGACACGTGCCTGGTGGGTGGGATCCGTACCCCCACTGTCCCAGGAGGGATCCCCACCCCCACTGCCCTGGGACTGTAATTGGCAGGTTTGGTTCCTACAGCGTAAACAAAACTGAAGCACCAATTGGAAGATAAACAAAACTGAAGTGCCAATTGGAAGCTGAAAGTGAAAATCTTCCAGGGACACTGGCTCCAGCCCTGGCATTTCCCAGAAACCGCCCAGCTGCAGGGCGGGGTGCTGGGGCAGGGGGGCACACAGAGCCCAAAGGTCACCGGCCTTCCCCTGCTGAGCCCAGGCCTGACGCACTGCGGGCCGGCGCTGGGGCAGCGCGGTTGCTGCTCGGGTGGTCACAGAAGTGGGGGCCGAGCTCTCGCAGGGCCGGGAAAGGACAGATCCCAGGCTGTCGGCCCCAGCCCCTGCGGCCAGCCCAGAAGCTGCCTGTGTCCCTGGTAGCCCCAGGCCGGATGGAGGGAGCGCGCTGGCTGCAGCACCTGTAGGCGGCCGGTGAGGACTCCCCCTGCAATCGCCGGTTGGCTGCCAACAGCGGATCCTCCCGCCCACCCGGCCTCATTCCTCACCGCCGGTTGTCTGTCTGCAGGGCTGGGGTGGCCCATGACATGGGGAAGGGAGAATAGAGACGCCCCAGTGGCCGGGCCCTGGGGAAGGCTGGGGTACCGTGTGGCAGCCTGACTATCACAGCCACCCGGCAGGGCTGGGGCCGGGGCTACAGCATGGCAACCCCAGCCCTCCAAGTGGCCAGCAAGGCTCAGGCTGGATTGGCCGGGGGGGGGGGAGCCGATTGCCTTCCCCATCCCGGCCTGTGCTGCAGGGGACGGCCGCCATTCAGGTAATGTTGGATCCTCCGGCGTGCTCTGCGGACACGGCGCAGGAGTTGGGGGGGAGCTTGTCACCCCAGAGGTGATGGGGCCGGTGGAGCGAGCGCTGTGCTCCCTGCTTCAGACTGGGTTTCCATTTGGGATGCCAGAGAGTTGCCGAACACCTGGCGACAAAAAAAAAACACTCTAAGAAAAATGTGTTGAGCAAAAAAAGGCCCCCGGGAATTGTTACGCAAAAAACAACCCCAGCACCGGGGCCCTTTTAAGAACCACGTGGTGAGTCTTTTAGCCCTGACAAGCTGCTGGTGGCCACCCGCCATCTTTCCTCCCTGCGTGGGGCCGGACAGCTTCCCTGATGAACCCGGTGGGCACTAGGGATGCCAGGCTGCCTCCGTATTCAGCCGGACAGCATTGTAGGTGTCTGGTATTTTCTGAATTATTTTACCAGACAGGAGGCAAAAATTCCCACATACCGGACACCTGGCAACCGTATTTCCGTCTCGAGGGGAGAGATCAGGGCAGAGCTGCACATGGGGCGGGTTCATGAATCCTTCTCCCACCCTGGTGGGCGTGTGGGGAGAAGACAGGGCCCTGCAGGGCCACAGTCCTGAACACGTGGAAAGCCCTGGGTTGCCAGGTGCCCAGTATTGACCCAGACCGTACGGTATTTTCACATTCTGTCCGGTAAAAAAATTCAGAAAATACCAGACACCTGAAATGTCCGACATTTTCTGATTTTTTCCCTGCAGGAGGTAAAAATATCAGCCTCTCTGTGTAAAAACCGGACCCCTGGCAACCTTACAGACACTCAGCAACCAGGTTACCCGGTTCTGCAGGACAACTGCCTGGCCCGGAGCCAGAAAACAAGATGGCCACCAGCCGCCACCAGCTTGTTAAAGCCAAAGAGCCTCAAAGGCATTTCTTAAAGGGGCCATGCTGGGTTTTTTAAAATTATTTTATTTGATTTTATTTTGCTTACTAAGTCTGGGGTCCATTTTATTATGTTCAAGAACGTTGGTCTCCCCTTTTTTTCTGAACAGATTTTTTCCCCCGGTGGTTTTTTTTGGAAGGGGGGGGAGGTTGGTATTTTTGATTAAACCATCTGGCAACCCGAGTAAAGCCTGGCCCCAAGCCCCCCAACTCTCTCAGGACAGACCGTGCCCCCAGCTTGCCGCTTTGCTCACAGGCCACGTGTCCTGACCACTTTTCATTTTATCACTCTCCTCTGGTCTCTCGCCGTGAGTCCACGTCCTCCCAACGTGCCCCTCCCAGGGCTGGGCCGGCTCTCTAGCTGCTTTATCACTCTCCTCTGGACGCTCGCCGTGTGTCCACGTCCTCCCAACGTGCCTGTCCCAGGGCTGGGCCGGCTCTCTAGCTACGGCCTCGCCCGCTCTGAGTGCAACAGAGAAACCGGCTCTCCAGGCCTACGTACGGCCCTCCCCATGGGGCACCCGTCAGCAGGCAGGACACTGGGTTACATGGACCTTTCGTCTGGCCCCGTCTGGCCGCTCTGATGTTCATAACCTCTGAGCTCTTCTGACAGGGAAAGGGGGGCAATGAGGGGCTCCCAGAGCCCTGGCATGGGGGAATGGGGGACACACAGAGCCCCTGATATGGGGGAAAGGAGTGGGGGGGGCTCAGAGCCCTGGCATAGGGGGAGGAAGGAATGCCAGAGGGCTCTGGGAGTACAGAGATGGCAGGGGAGAGTGTTCCCAGGGGAAGCACCAGGGGGCGCCAGAGCAGCAGCCAGCAGGGCCCCAGGGGGCAGGGGAGGGTGTTCCCAGGGGAGGCACCAGGGGGCGCCAGCTTGTGCCCGGCAGAACTGGGCCTGGTTTATTCAAAAGTTGCTTTTACTCTCTGGGCCCGGGGGGCTGTTTTGGGGCTTGTTTCACTGGGGGTCTCGGCTTTGGGCTGTTTGTGCAGGGGCTGAACCGGTGCCAATGCAGACGCCCGTCGCTAGAACACGAGACGCCCCCCTGACCCCCATTCCCGCCCCATGGAGAGAACACCCCGGAATTCGGAAAGGTCCCGTCCCGCCCATTCGACACCCGCTCCCGCCATTCCCTGTCCTGCGCCGGGACAGGCTGCCATGTGGGACTGCGCCCTACCCAGCCCACAGAACCCCCAGGGGCCTGGTGCGTGTGAGGAACACCATGCGATCAACAATGCAAATACACACACGTTTATTAGTTTAAATGTGCAACTTCATTTCACTGCAGCAAATGTACAACTGCAGTGAAATGCAACAAGGGAACGTGTGTAAGCACATCCCTGCTCTCCCTCCGGCCTGGCCTTGGCGTGGGGTTGAAAGGCAGCGCTGCTTAATTTTCTAAAACATTAGCTATGTGAGCTCAGGAAAGGAAGTGGGGGCTAGTGGTGAGAGCAGGGGCTGGACATCAGGACTCCTGGCAGGTGCCCCCTTAGCCCCTCACGGGCACGTACTCCTGGCAGGTGTCCCCGCCCAGGTTGGGCCCGCACTCCAGGGAGTAGGAATACGTCACGAGGCCGGGCGAGACGACGCAGCTCTGAGTCACGTTCCTGCTGGCCTTGAGGTGGGCGTGGCAGGTTCCCAGGTGGCTGTCCACCCATGGCCACGGGTCACTGTCCCGCACCTCCACTTCCAGTTCGGGCTTCACCGGCAGCGTCACCACCCCGAAGTCCAGGTCTTCAAACCACTGGGGGTTGTTGTTGTCCTTAATGTAGCGCGTCTGCAGCTTCTGCCCTTGGAAGATGACCTTGACGTAGGGGTCGCTGGGAGACAAGGGGTCCCCCCACAGGTCTTTGCCCGACATCATATGGACCTTCAGCCGGGCCAGGCCCCGCTGCAGGGAGCAGCACATGGAGTTGGTGAAGGGGTTTCCGGAGCAACGGCATTTGCAGGGCTCCAAGGGGTCGGCGTAGCCGCCTTGTGGGCACCGTCGAGGGCACCTCCTCTGCCCCCGCTCAGCCACGTACTCCTTCACTGCCTGCCTCAGCGCCTCCCGCCGGGGGTCTCCTGGCCTCACCAGGGTGTGGATGGGTGACAGGGAGAAGGAAATCAGGTTGGGGCTGGTTTTGAGGCTCTCCAGCCAGGCCGAGAGGGCCCCGGGGTCTTGCTTGGTGGAGTAGAGCAGGTTGGCATGGCCATGGCCCCCCGTCACCTCGTTAACCCCCACTCCCGCCCCAAGAAGAAAACATGCCGGAATTCGGAAAGGTCCCGTCCCGCCCATTTGACACCCGCTCCCGCCATTCCCTGTCCTGCGCCGGGACAGGCTGCCATGTGGGACTGCGCCCTACCCAGCCCACAGAACCCCCAGGGGCCTGGTGCGTGTGAGGAACACCATGCGATCAACAATGCAAATACACACACGTTTATTAGTTTAAATGTGCAACTTCATTTCACTGCAGCAAATGTACAACTGCAGTGAAATGCAACAAGGGAACGTGTGTAAGCACATCCCTGCTCTCCCTCCGGCCTGGCCTTGGCGTGGGGTTGAAAGGCAGCGCTGCTTAATTCTCTAAAACATTAGCTATGTGAGCTCAGGAAAGGAAGTGGGGGCTAGTGGTGAGAGCAGGGGCTGGACATCAGGACTCCTGGCAGGTGCCCCCTTAGCCCCTCACGGGCACGTACTCCTGGCAGGTGTCCCCGCCCAGGTTGGGCCCGCACTCCAGCGAGTAGGAATACGTCACGAGGCCGGGCGAGACGACGCAGCTCTGAGTCACGTTCCTGCTGGCCTTGAGGTGGGCGTGGCAGGTTCCCAGGTGGCTGTCCACCCATGGCCACGGGTCACTGTCCCGCACCTCCACTTCCAGTTCGGGCTTCACCGGCAGCGTCACCACCCCGAAGTCCAGGTCTTCAAACCACTGGGGGTTGTTGTTGTCCTTAATGTAGCGCGTCTGCAGCTTCTGCCCTTGGAAGATGACCTTGACGTAGGGGTCGCTGGGAGACAAGGGGTCCCCCCACAGGTCTTTGCCCGACATCATATGGACCTTCAGCCGGGCCAGGCCCCGCTGCAGGGAGCAGCACATGGAGTTGGTGAAGGGGTTTCCGGAGCAACGGCATTTGCAGGGCTCCAAGGGGTCGGCGTAGCCGCCTTGTGGGCACCGTCGAGGGCACCTCCTCTGCCCCCGCTCAGCCACGTACTCCTTCACTGCCTGCCTCAGCGCCTCCCGCCGGGGGTCTCCTGGCCTCACCAGGGTGTGGATGGGCGCCAGGGAGAAGGAGATCAGGCTGGGGCTGGTTTTGAGGCTCTCCAGCCAGGCCGAGAGGGCCCCGGGGTCTTGCTTGGTGGCATAGAGTAGGTTGGCATGGCCGTGGCCCCCCGTCACCTCGTTGCGGTGATCCGTGTAGGCCGCCTGGGAGCTCCAGCTGCTCTGGCTGCTCGGCTCCTGGGCGTGGGAGCCGGAGGGGAGCTGACTCAAACCCAGGTCTTGCAGGAACTGAGAGCTCAGGCGCTCCTTGATTTCAGCGTCTGTCAGCCCGTCCAGCACTGCCCGGCAGGTCGGGATGGCCGTCAGCTGCCGCACACGCCCGCCCAGCACTGCCTGGCTCACATAGTGGGTGCCGTACGTGGCCAGGAAGGGTCGGTATGTGGATGGGTCGTAGGTGGGTAGAAGGTCACTCAGGGCTTGGGCGAATAAGGGTGTCAGAGGAGGGTTTGGGGGAACCCTCATCCTGCCAGAGGGGAAAAAGAGACAGGAGTTAGGAGCTTTCTTTGATAAGATAACGAGTCATGTGGCTAAGGGAGAAGCGGTGGATGTGATATACCTAGACTATAGTAAGGTATTTGATACTGTCTCGCATGATATTCTTATCAATAAACTAGGTCAATACAACTTAGGGTACGTCTAGATTTCTGAAGGAATGCCTGACATAGTGAATCGACAGTATATGTCGACCAAACTTCTGTTGACAAAGAGACGCCAGAGCAGCAGCCAGCAGGGCCCAAGGGGGGCAGGGGAGGTTGTTCCCAGGGGAGGCACCAGGGGGCGCCAGAGCAGCAGCCAGCAGGGCCCCAGGGGGCAGGGGAGGGTGTTCCCAGGGGAGGCACCAGGGGGCGCCAGCTTGTGCCGGCAGAACTGGGCCTGGTTTATTCAAAAGTCGCTTTTACTCTCTGGGCCCGGGGGGCTGTTTTGGGGCTTGTTTCACTGGGGGTCTCGGCTTTGGGCTGTTTGTGCAGGGGCTGAACCGGTGCCAATGCAGACGCCCGTCGCTAGAACACGAGACGCCCCCAACCCCCACTCCCGCCCCAAGAAGAAAACATGCCGGAATTCGGAAAGGTCCCGTCCCGCCCATTTGACACCCGCTCCCGCCATTCCCTGTCCTGCGCCGGGACAGGCTGCCATGTGGGACTGCGCCCTACCCAGCCCACAGAACCCCCAGGGGCCTGGTGCGTGTGAGGAACACCATGCGATCAACAATGCAAATACACACACGTTTATTAGTTTAAATGTGCAACTTCATTTCACTGCAGCAAATGTACAACTGCAGTGAAATGCAACAAGGGAACGTGTGTAAGCACATCCCTGCTCTCCCTCCGGCCTGGCCTTGGCGTGGGGTTGAAAGGCAGCGCTGCTTAATTTTCTAAAACATTAGCTATGTGAGCTCAGGAAAGGAAGTGGGGGCTAGTGGTGAGAGCAGGGGCTGGACATCAGGACTCCTGGCAGGTGCTCCCTTAGCCCCTCACGGGCACGTACTCCTGGCAGGTGTCCCCGCCCAGGTTGGGCCCGCACTCCAGGGAGTAGGAATACGTCACGAGGCCGGGCGAGACGACGCAGCTCTGAGTCACGTTCCTGCTGGCCTTGAGGTGGGCGTGGCAGGTTCCCAGGTGGCTGTCCACCCATGGCCACGGGTCACTGTCCCGCACCTCCACTTCCAGTTCGGGCTTCACCGGCAGCGTCACCACCCCGAAGTCCAGGTCTTCAAACCACTGGGGGTTGTTGTTGTCCTTAATGTAGCGCGTCTGCAGCTTCTGCCCTTGGAAGATGACCTTGACGTAGGGGTCGCTGGGAGACAAGGGGTCCCCCCACAGGTCTTTGCCCGACATCATATGGACCTTCAGCCGGGCCAGGCCCCGCTGCAGGGAGCAGCACATGGAGTTGGTGAAGGGGTTTCCGGAGCAACGGCATTTGCAGGGCTCCAAGGGGTCGGCGTAGCCGCCTTGTGGGCACCGTCGAGGGCACCTCCTCTGCCCCCGCTCAGCCACGTACTCCTTCACTGCCTGCCTCAGCGCCTCCCGCCGGGGGTCTCCCGGCCTCACCAGGGTGTGGATGGGTGACAGGGAGAAGGAGATCAGGCCGGGGCTGGCTTTGAGGCTCTCCAGCCAGGCCGAGAGGGCCCTGGGGTCTTGCTTGGTGGAGTAGAGCAGGTTGGCATGGCCATGGCCCCCCGTCACCTCAGTGCGGTGATCCGTGTAGGCCGCCTGGGAGCTCCAGCTGCTCTGGCTGCTCGGCTCCTGGGCGTGGGAGCCGGAGGGGAGCTGACTCAAACCCAGGTCTTGCAGGAACTGAGAGCTCAGGCGCTCCTTGATTTCAGCGTCTGTCAGCCCGTCCAGCGCTGCCCGGCAGGTCGGGATGGCCGTCAGCTGCCGCACACGCCCGCCCAGCACTGCCTGGCTCACATAGTGGGTGCCGTACGTGGCCAGGAAGGGTCGGTATGTGGATGGGTCGTAGGTGGGTAGAAGGTCACTCAGGGCTTGGGCGAATAAGGGTGTCAGAGGAGGGTTTGGGGGAACCCTCATCCTGCCAGAGGGGAAAAAGAGACAGGAGTTAGGAGCTTTCTTTGATAAGATAACGAGTCATGTGGCTAAGGGAGAAGCGGTGGATGTGATATACCTAGACTATAGTAAGGTATTTGATACTGTCTCGCATGATATTCTTATCAATAAACTAGGTCAATACAACTTAGGGTACGTCTAGACTACCGGGTTTTGTTGACAGAAGTTTTGTCGACAGTATCTGTCGACAAAACTTCTGTCGACAAAGAGCGTCCAGATACATTGAGTTCTGTTGACAAAGCAAGCTGCTTTGTCGACAGAACCCTGTAGTCTAGACGCAACCCTACAGGCAATAACACCTTCTGTCGACAGACA